GTCATATTCACATTTGCAAAAGAGTGCAGTATTCTTTTCTCTGTGTCTGGCAACGTCAAACCCACACACACATTCAGCTACCAAACAATACATTTGTACCACAATTGTCCTTTATAGTCATCACAAGACGCGGATTTGAATGGATTAGAAAGGATGCAAAATAGATGACACTGTAATAGAGGTCCCTTAGGAACACTTTAACCCCTATAAATGTAGCCACACATGAAGGTTACATGGTTGTCATCTCATACAAGAGTCACATCTGAAAAGTATTAGGCATATTGTATGAGTTCTGTGTCTGTTGAGGCATTCCTTTGACCCAATATTAATAATAAATCGAGTATTTCCTTCTCTAGGTGTCTTTGTGGCTTCAGCTGGGGGGAGCTGTGTTTGGTGGGAGCCAAGGGCGAGTGCCTTGTCATGTGAGGAGTATTAATTTATGATTTCCATTCCAGCTTCTGACCTCATCACCTCCATTAGAATGCAGCCTTTGTAATTTCATAGTTAATATTCAATAGCCACTTGTCCCCTGTGCCTGCTTTGTGCATGTGAAATTTCTGGAGGGGGTGCGTATCATTTTTGAACTGCTGAGTTTGTGCATGTGTGTGTACATGGCAGAGGAAATTAGAGTTGACTGTAGCATGGCTTCCTGTAAAACTGTTGCAGATGTCCAGAGATGTCCTATGTGTCTCTACTCCCACAGCAGAGCTTGAATTGGCTCTGTGTCTGACCCGAGTCATTTGACTAGCCTCCCTCATACACATGCTTTTTTCTTCTCTTTTTCTCTCTCTCACACACACGCACTCACACATATCTACAAATGCACACATACACACAGTAGCTGGCCCCTTTACAGGGACTTGCCTCAGGGTCAAAATCTGATCTTCTTATCAGCGAACTCTGCATAGAGTCTGCAAGAAACAGAGGCAGGCCAACATTTCGCATTGCACACACACAAACACCCACACGTTCGTAGAGCTCTTTGTGAGGACAATCATTGACCGAATGCATCCCCTAGCTTCATATGCTAACCTACACCCCAGTGCTTACCCTAACCATAACCTGAAACCTTAGACCAAGTCTTGACCTTCAGTTAGCCCACCAAAGTTCTGAGGACAGGCAAAAATGCCCTCACAACTGTGATATCAAACAAAAACGTGTCTACACAACAACAAACATGTATGTATGCGCACACACATGCTCATACAAATATTGGAGGCAGGAATTGCTTTCATGAGACAAGCAGCTGCTAGTGACCGTAAAGATAAAATGCAGAAAGAAAAATTATGTGGGAAGAGAGATTAAGAAAGAAGAAGAAGAAGAAGGAGAAAAAAATTTCAAACAGTAAAAGTCTCCTGCATTTCTGCACACATTGATGCATTGGCCCGAACACGCATTCCTACTGAACGACTTTGGCAAAGCCTATAAAAAAAACACATTAAAGGGCTCTGTTCAGCGTGAGCCCAGTTGATGCTCTATTTTCTCCCTTTCCCCTGTTTCCTCTGTGCGACTCTAGCTCAGTGACAGCTAATCTGCTGTGGGTTACTGGAAAATCTGCAGATGCTCAAAGATGATTATGACAATATGGAGAAATAATAAAATACAGCAGGGAAAAGATGAGCAACAATACTGTGAAAATAAGAGAAAATTACCCTAATTAAACTTCAGGTCCATCCCTTCAACTAAACAGTGCACATGCTGGAAATTCACAATAATGGCTTCGGCAGCATTTTATTCTTTTATCATGGTGAATCCTACACTATGTTGTTTGTTTTCTATCAACCATTCCCAACTGTGTTTGTCCCTACAGCTTTTTTGTTAGTATTATAGATATTATTTATCACTGTTAATTGTATAAAAGTGATGTTATTACAGTAGAGTTTTTTTTAATTTGCATTTAAAAACCTACTGAAATAATATCACTGTCAGTTTTGGGGCTGTTAGGTCAAGTTTGTATTTCTACTATTATGTCAACACTTCTAGCGGCAAGCTAACTCCACTGTTTGTACATTTAGCAAACAATTTCAATTATATATTCAATTTTTAATTTTACTGTATGTTAATTTTAACCATCTAATCTATTTTAACCACTGTGCATAGTTTTTTTTCAACTATTTATTTGTTTGACTTATTTTTTTACTATATTTTTCTGCTCACTTGCTGACTTGTTGTACTGTAGTTGTACTGAAGTTGTAAAAGGTGTTACGACTAACTCGGGTTTGTCTGATTATGCACTGTGCAGCGGGCATGTCATAAGACCCACTCCAGATATTATCACACCATTCAGTGGGCCATTACCACTTGTTATTGGACAATACCTATGATGAGGTCTCTACTATTGTGAGGTTAGGTCATCTGGTTGGGCACAAATCTATATGGTTAGGTTTAGGAGCTAAATAACAGAAAGGTTGTGGCTTTGGTTAACATGCATGTCAATAAGGAAGCATAACATTTCACACTGGAATTGAACACCTCTCTCCTGTGGGAAAACACATGTGTTATGACTAGTCCCTTCCCCCACCTTCTTCCCAGTACAACCTTTCATCCTCTGTGTGTTTCTCATGTCTCCTATATGATCGTTCCTCAGCCTTTGATTCTCGCGCAGCCCTGAAGTCACTCCGCCTGACCGAGGATTAATGGGCCTGTTGTAGTGTATTCTAACCATTAGACTACAGTTCAACAGGAGCGTTAATGTAACCATAATGTAAAAAGCTTGAAGCCTATGTGAAAACAAAGACAAAATGATACATGCAACCTGGAGTTCACATTGTTTATTCAATATTAAACAAAAAGATATTTTAATGTGACTGCTAGGACAGCAATTCAAATCGACATGAAACGGGGGTAGTGTAAACAAGATGTCATTATATTGGACTACAGTCTAGTAATAGCTGGGCTAAGATTACTTTCAGACTACTAGCAGAGGTGGCTAGCCCTTTAAAATGAATATCCAGATTCTTTCTCAAAATATTATTCTATAAAAGTCAACAGTTGGAAGAATTACATTGATCACAGAAATTTCTAAGAATGGTGATAATACAGGCTATGGAAATCATTAAAAGTAAATGTCTTTAATAGCTTGACTGGATAAAAGGGAAACATTTGGAATGAGATGATGATCTGTCTGGTAGAAACACATCAAGTCCACAGCTCCAGATCATCTCTAAAATATAGAAAATGATCTCAGTGCAAGACCGGGGTTCATTTAGGCAGTCTACGCGTCCAGTTCCAGACCAACCAATCAGTGCTGCAGACTGTTGCTGTTCTCCACAAACTGTGAAGCACTTCTCAGTACAAACATAAAGAAACATTTAATGACTAAGTAATAAAAAACATGTTTAACAATCATTAAATTAGCCTAAAGTGATGTGCTCACTGTTTTCCCAACCCTGGTTTTCTTAAAATGTTGCTTCACATGATTCTAGTTGCATAGCCAACTTAGCTTGGGCACTGACAGACTTACCGCGCTGCTGCACCTTCTCACTGCACTTTAGTCCAACAAAACTGCTGGACTCTAGCTGCTGATCCAAAAAACAGCTGAAGCTAAAACTTTTTTTAAAATCAGAGGTAGATTTTCTTGACTTTATTTTTCCAGCTACATCTGTACTGAAAACAAACTGGAGTTCAACAGGATAGAAAACAAGGTTTTAAGACCAGAGATGAGACTGCCTATGAGCTTTTAAATGAAAGTTTTTTTTTGGTTTTGAAGACTCAACAGGTTGCCTGCTTGGACAGTGGTTGAGCCCAGTGAGACGGTGCAGCAAAGAATCTTTAAACGTGACTTACAGGGAGGTTGTGATGAAAGTAAACATCATGTCAGGTGGGCTGGGTTGAAAACAGTAAACCTACTGTTTGAGCAGTAAGTTGAGCCAGTATGCTGCTTGCCTAATAAAATAATTTGTGTGATAGCAAGGTGAAATGTTTATTTTAATACTACCAGCTCACAGGCAGAGTAGTTTGTCACTGTCAACAGTTAACCTAACTACAGATGGGTGACAAATTAAAGAAAAACCAACATCAAGTGTCTCAGTAAGGTCACCATGTGCTGTCAAGATCAGTACATACTGATTCTACAAGTCCCTGAACTATAACTGGAGGGATAAACACCATTCTTCCAAAAGATATTCCCCTCATTTGGTGTTTTGATGATGGTGATGTAGACTCTGTCTAACACATCGGTCCAAAATCTCCCATAGGTGTCCAGCTGGTTCGAGATCTGGTGACTATGAAGGCCGCAGTCATTATGACAACCTGCTTAATATGGAGTCAATGTGGCAGTTGGTTGGCGCTCGTGTCACTCTGCAGCTCACTGTGCATCTTCTGTGAATCCGTTTACTTCCACAGTTCTACTGTCAGGAAGAGCACAGATGTGTCGACCATTCCGTGAAAAACTTGTGTAAAAGCAGTGCAAACTGTGGCTGTGAGAACAAGTTAGAGGTAAATGTTTAGACAAATCCAACAGTCTCACCAGTCTAGGTAATCAGAATCAGAATCAGAATCTGCTTTATTGGCCAGGTGTGTCAGACACATGAGGAATTTGACTCTGGTACATCAGCTCTCAATGTGTATGTACATATCCCCATGCAAAGGGCAAGTAAACAGTAAACCAACATAAGGCTGATATCGCCACTATAGCCGCTGAATGTTTCTATTCATAGAGACCAATGTACAGTATTTATCATTTTCACCCAGTTTAACAAAGATAAAAAAAAATAACATAAAAGGATGAATGAAATTTAAAAGTTTAATCTACAGTCGGTCATCCTCATCATCAGTGAGCCATGACCCTGTCGCTAGTTCACTGTTTGTCCTTCCTTAGACACTGTTGGTAGGTACTGACCACTGCAGACAGGAACACCCAACAAGACCTGCAGTCTGGGAGATGCTCTGACCCACTCATCACAGTGTGGTCCTTGTCAAAGTCACTCAGATTCTTATGTGTCCCTGTTTTTCCTGCTTCCCGCACATCAACTTCAAAAACTGAATGTTCACTTGCTGCCTAATAAACCCCACACACTGACAGGTGCCACTGTAATGAGATAGTCAGTGTTATTCACTTTACCTGTCACTTTTCAGAATGTTATGGCTGGTCAGTGTATGTTTCACACTGTTTTCATACTCATCAAACCATTCAGTGACTCCCTGTGCCCTATGGATGGGGGCATTGTCATCCAGGGTGACAGGTTATTCAGGTTTTTCCTTGTAACTTCTCATTCGTCTCTAGCTTTTTGGCTCTGTAACTATGGACATGTAGAAACCATATTCCAGTGGTATAAAACAATCTTTATTATTTGTAAAATTGACCCCTGTTGGTGCCAAACCAGTGCTTTAAACTGCAGTTTTTATTTAGATTTCAGACTTTTATGGGTTAACCCAGATATTTATCACAATGTACTCCCATAGTTTTAGTGACACAGTTGGTCTGGTGACTGAGCACGTTCCCAGATGAAACACCTATGTCAGAATCTGCACTTGAAATAATCTTGCCAAACAAATGACATTGTTACAATTTCTATACATAACATATAATCCAGTTTTCCCTTTATAAATCAGAAGATTAATGCTGTTTTCCAGGGATTTCCAGGATTGTGTCTCACTTGAGTTTGAACAAGTCTCAAAATATAGTCTCAAGTTGCATTAGATGAATTCCCAAAACGTACATTTTCTGCTTCGGGGTTATCAGGTTTACAGCTGTAGTATATATTCATCATTAACAGTGTTAGATTTCAGCCCTTAGAATAGGGTTTAATCAACCACAGCCACATTAGCATAGCAAAAACCTTTCTATGTACAAGTAATTAGGTTTAGAAACTAAGGTCCAGTAAGAAGAAAACTCTTTGGTATTTCCAAGAAAAAAAAGATTGCACAAATAGTATTTGATCAGAGAGGAGAAAGATCGGTATCAAGTCATTTAAAAAGGCACAACAGAGCTAGATGACATCTCAAGAGGTATTGGGTTGGAGAAGGTATGCGTCGGAGCATATGAGAGTGCAGGACTGTTATCAAAAGCGTACCACTCATAGTACGAGCATATGGATCTAACAGCATAATGTCGTGAGATTTTCAGTCAAGGAATTAAATTAGATGTTGAGCAGTGTCTGCTTTACAGGAAGCCTGGCGGAACCCGATAACACAGAAATGTGATTTTCACATTAGAGGAGAAATGTAAATATCTTAACTAAAATCTATAAAACAAGGATTAATAGAGAGGCAAAGAATTTACTTGAAAATTCAGGCCTTAAGCTAAGCCACGGCCATTTGTTCACATAGCAAGAGCGACATGAAAAAACGAAACATATTAGAAAGGAAACGATGCCGTCCAGTCCTCAGCCAGTCCTTTACTAGTCAACCAATCAGACGTGGAAAAATTCACTTAATGTCAGAGCCCATCAGAAAAAAAAGTTAAAGTAAACAAGATGCGAAACAATAAATGAGGAGAGACCGTTGAAGAAATCTCTCCCTTCACATGTTAGAGCAGAGAATGTGTCTGATGCAGATGTGTCAACTGTTTGTTCTTTGATGTCCGTCACTTACAGTATTCATTGAATGGGATCCATTTCCAGGCTGATGCATAACGTTCTCATGACTCTTCTCTGAATAAGTTTGTTAATTGAGTTGCATATTAACAAAAGAAATCTGATGGTAATTCTGTGTGCGGTGTCTGCCTCTATGTGTCAGCCCTGAGACAGCCTGGCGACCTGTCCAGGTTGTACCCCGCCTCTCGCCCAATGACAGCTGGGATTGGCTCCAGCCGCCCGACCCTCTTCAGGATAAGCAGTATAGATAATGAATGGATCTGTCAGTAATATTGCAACAAGCCACAATTAAATTTTTGTAATTTTGTACATTGCAACAAAGGCAACAGGCGTGGATCCCACATCCGCCACTTGGACTGTGTGTTGTAGCAAAGGCCACTGTAAGCGCTCCGACTGGAAGACTTTAACCTTGCCAAGGATAGAAGGACATGCTACTTTTCTACTCAGATCTGAGCATCCATTTTCCCATTATGCTGCTGCTCTTATCTACAGAAACACTAAAATCCAGTTAAATGGAACCATTTTCTCATTTGCCTTTGGAGGTCATTTTTCATGCTTGGAGAACTCCAGTCATTCAGACAGCACAAGAGGCTCCATTGTAATAATAGCTTGTTCGTTGAGGGTATGGAGGCCTGGACTGCACAGCCTGGCAGACCCTCATGGAACCAGGCTTGAGCTCCCTCTATACCGTGCACCCAGCTGTGTAGCAATGGACCAACAGCAAAGACAAAGCAGAGGAGGTTACTGTTCCATCATTTGTTCAGTAAAGGAAGGAAGAACTCACCAGTGACTGCTCTCAGCAATAGGTCACATCTTTTGCTTGGAAAACCCTGTACAAAACACTGGGCATACTGGGAAGCCAAATAAGCTTTGCCACTATAGTGGGAACCACAGACTGGGTTCAGCACTTCCCAGGTCTGATAAGACACTGGTCAAAGTTGGAGTTATGGGTGTGTGTAGCATATATCAGCTTTGCAGCCTGTGCTGCTGGTAGTGGGGGGGCTGGGGCCTCAGGAGGAGAAGCAAAGGCTGCAGCACTCCATGCAGATCTCCAGGCAGTCTGCGGACTCACAGCAGGCGTCGATGATGCCGCAGTCCATGTCACAGGGCAAGTCACAGTCGCCACATTCCTCCGACGCACAGCAGCAGCAGAAACACGAGTCGTCGCCAGCGCAGGAGCCGCAGGTGGCACAATCCAGCACGATGTTACACAGAGTTAGGAACTCACAAAATAGGCAGGCGAGAATACAGTGAACGCAGCAGTCTGGGGGGAAAGAGGGACAAAGGACATAAGTGAAGTGAGCGATGGAGCCAGTTTTCATCATTGCTTTCATTCTTTTTCTTTTTTGTCCATAACTTTCTTTGTCTAGACTTTGGCAACAAAAACGTATTTAAAGGTCACAGCAATACAGCAAATTGAAATGGAAAACCCCCAATTTGTTAGAAATAATTTTGCATTGCAGCTACTGTGACAGCTACTGTGACAGGTCAGAAATATGGGACATGACTAAGTAACTGGTAAAAAGATTCTTCAGTGCCAGACCAGAGACTAAGCACTGCCAGTGCCCTGATGGCATTAACACACGGGCTTACAACATTTGTTCTTTAATAGGGAGTTAAAAAAAAAAACTAATTCCTGGCCTTGCCACATGTCCTTTGGTAATAAGCTTGTTATCACTACCTGTCTGCACAGACCCACCTTCCTCTGTACATGTGTACATATGTCTATGCTTCAGGTTAGTGAACAGAAAAGGTGTTTTTTCCACCATAAAGCCAGCTAACTAAGTTGAAAATTCTAAATTCCATTTTCTCTAGCCTGACATAACCACTCAAACCATGCCAAAATCTGCAAACCTGCACAGAAGATTTCAAACAGAGGACTGCTCCTCAAGAATGACAAAGTTAATAAACTGTGATGTTTTCCAGCGTGATGAATTTCTCCTTTAAAGTGCAAATAATCAATTTTCAGGTGGAATTTTCAGTTAAGATTTATAAATGGAAGTTATTTTAGAAATTTAGAGTGGGTAGAGAGTATTAAAGTCTAAGCTGGGCAATAACTTTTTTATTGACTTTTTAAAAACATTTGTCTGTGTATTATATAATATCAGGGCTAATTTATGGCAGAAACTTACAAGTGATAAACTAAAGAGGTGATTTCCAGTACTAGGTTTTGGGTCAGAGGAAATATGCCAGAATAAAGTAGAAATCTTCTTCTCTGACCAGAAAAGTGGAAAAAACTTGTTGTTATCACCTTGTTATCTGCTGTGCTCCCACTCCTCCCACCCCCACCCTGCAGTGTCTCACCATCCTGTGCCTCTGTAGGAATCTGGGAGCTGTTGCTTTTGGAGCTGCTCTTGCTCCTCTTGCTGCTCTGGGAGGTGATGGAAGGGTTGGACTGCAATTTCTTTGTGTGTTTGCTGCAATTTCTTTGGGTGTTTCCTGAGGAGGATGAGGAGGTGGACGAGTCGCCTCTGGGGAGGGAGCCCAGCTTAGGATGCTCATGAGGGCCTCCGCTCCTGACCCCGTTGGACTGGAGTGAATGCGTGTGAGGCATGTGCGTGTGGTGCGGACAGTGTGCGTGAGAGGAGTGTGCGTGCGTGTGGTGCTTGGCTCCATTGCGTAGTTGGCTGCTGGGCTGTGTTCGGTATGGCTGGGAGTGGCTGGGCATGGATCTAGCTCCTGGTTGAGCTGGGGAGGGACAAAATGACAAATAAACATTTTAAAATTATATTGCAGTCACTGCATTTATGGTGAAACTGACTGTGGTCCACAAGAGCGCACAACCAGTGGATGTGTCACCCACTTTATCTCCACTTACAGCTGCTTTTGTCTGTATCAAAAGTCATAAAATGCAAAAACAGACACAACATATAGATGTAGTCAAAATTATTCAGCCCCCATTGCAAATTAGGTGTACTGGCAAAATCTGCAAACTTTCATCTCTTTGCAATGTCCACATCACCCAAGAACAACTGAAATAGCTCAACACAACTAATGCAACAAGAGGTTTCTCCAAATGCAACTTTTAATTACTTCTGCAGTCTCAAAACGATTTGTCCCCTGGAAGTGCATAACAAATGCTACTGAAGCTTTTCAAGAACTGCGCTAAAAATCGAGCCTATACAGTATTTGCAAATGCAAACATTTGAGCACATACCTGTTTGTTAATCTTAGCTCACTATACTACACAGTATATTTTACTTCCAAGTAACACTGAGTACTAGCTACCTTGTTATAAACAGAAAAGCACCCCTTCACTGCCAAACCAAACACACATCAGAAGAATAAAATGGAAGCATGCTTTTTTATATATTATGGCAGTTGAGACCCTAAACATTTTCTTGACCTAAAAGCATATGGTGTGGAGATTAGGGTATTATGAGACTTAATAGGGCAGGAAAGAATACAAAAGACTCACAGAAAATCAAAGCCGAAACTCTGCACCCCTCACACCCACACATACACAGTTGCACTGAGAGGCAAACAGAGAGTGCTCCTGAGCTTCATACATGAAACATGGCTGGCAATAAAAGCGTCCGTTCGATAACCGCTCAGAGACCCAGCCAGGCCTGTTTTCATTGGCTAATGGCCGTAGTCACACAACCAATATAAAAGATTCTTTCTTTCAGTGTTTTCTGACTTTGCTGCAGATGTTTGGCAGGATGCAGCACCAGTGTGTGTGTGTGTGTGTGTGTGTGTGTGTGTAGGTGTGCATGCATGTGCAGGGCTAGTCAGAAGGATACGTTCTCCTTTTAAGTATGTCAAAGTCAACACCCGATGCACTCCTGTGTTATGTTTCCCACCCTCAGTGAATCTCCCCCCTTTCTGTGTCATGATGTGTCGGCCAGGGTGTGGGTTGGGGATTAGTCAGACTCAGATTTTCTTCAGGTTTATATTGTCCTCCAGGGGATTGGAAGTTGTTGAGAAATTCATACTTCTTGTGAGTTTGTGGTGTGTGTGTGTGTGTGTGAACACAGTACATTGGTGGATCTGTCTGACAGACAGAGGGAGAGAGACAGTGAGTGAGCACTGTCTCCAAACAGAGCTTGAGGTTAGGCCCACTCACACACACAAATATATGCATGCAAGAACACGTGCAGACACTGTTGAACACACACACAGAAAAAACACAAGGTCCCTTTGTGTAAGATCAAAAAAGTAAGGATGGGGAAGGAGTGAGAAAGGGAGAAAAGCTGAAAAGAAAATTGGGTTGTTGCATTTTTGGATCAGGAGGATGCATGGGTGTGACTCATAAACACAATGAGTCAGCAGCGGGAGCTAGTTAAAAATAACAGCAAATCAAGAGCCAAATGGCTGTGGGACTGACATGATGAGACTGGGAAATCAGTCAGTGACAGTAACACAGTGGCAGAGTAGGCCAGTAGAGGCCCTGTAACCTCTAGTATAATGAATGTGTGTACATGTATGCCTGAGCTGATGTGTTTGGCCAGCGAGGAAGCATGAGTGAATCACCATTAGTTGAATGTGGCAGCACACACACCCGTTCACACAGCCTCCACCTCTTCCTCTCAGCTACCCTGTATTTACACGCCTCCCTCCCAGACCAGAAAACTGCTCTTCATCTCACTCTCTTTACTTGCCCTCTGCTAGAATGAGTCACCAGGATGACTGTGAACAGTATCCTTTGTCCCACCACCTACTTTGGTGCAGTTTGCCTTTGTAAGTTAAAATTGTTGAACTATGGACAAGACAGTAAAAAGTATTGAAGATACAAAGAAATAGAGATTTTGGCAAAGAATTTTTTTAAAGACACATATTAATCAGAAAACAACACAGGGAGAAGGGTGTATGGATTACATGCACCCACAAATGTGCCTCCTTATTAACTATGCACAAATGTGCAGAAATGTTGTGCATTATCAAATACAGCAGACAGAAGCAAATTAACTGGGTGTTCATCTGCACAAGGTATTTTCTGCTGACTGAATATTGAATAAAACCGAGAATACAAACAGTGAAGTTTGGCTGCTTGCAGTGAGATTTCTTTGTCAGTATTGACATATATGTATGTCAATAACAAAGAAAAGAAAGCAAAGAAACTAGTTCAGTTTCACAACGTTTGCACAACATGCCAGAAGCCTCTCAAATATTTCTGAAGAGCTTATAATTCAACCCAGAACTCACAGAAACATCTTGCCCACTGACACCCTTCTGGGTTTTTCTTGTACAGTTGTGTTGTATTTAACTGAGGGACAAAGCGTAAGTCTCAAGCACTAAAAGGGTGAGAATGGGAAAATGATAAGTTGGTGCTGTAAAATTTTATTTAGAACAGCTTACAGTGAGATTTACCCACATTTCTTTTGCTGCTATAAAACACTCCAACCAGCACTACAGTGTTAATGAGGCTTGTTTCGTTGCACCCACTCACTACATTGAAAAAGCCACGTGATAGCAGAGTTTAGCCACATGCACAAGACTGCTGCTTCAAAATGAGATGTTACCGAGGCAAAGTGTGACTCAGCTTTGGCCAAAAATAAATACTTATTCTACTTTCGATCCAAAGACTTCAGCATTAGCATTAAAGCTGCTTATGGTATCCCATCTTTCAAATGAAGACTGCAGAGTTGCCCCTACAGGGTGCAACAGGGTACCTACTGTAAATTAAAATTAAAATTATTACCAAAATCTATTTGATGAACTTCTGTTACTTCCACTTGTTTTACCTACAGCATTTACACCAAATATCCTTTGGACATTGAATTTATTATCAGCATGAATAAAGTAAAGCAGACTGTATAACTAGTATCATTGATTCTGTCTGTGTTTAAATCTGATAATTGTGACAGATTTCTTGCACCAGTCGATGCTACTAAGTTCACTGTGTGTGTGTGTAATTTGTGATTCTGGTCAGCCTTAAAAAACTCCCCACGCCCTGGTAGCCAAATGGTTACAGCATACACCACATAATTGCAACATCTGTGGTTCAATTCTGGCTGTGGAGTTTTTGTTGCATGTCGGACCTTCTCTTTTCCCATGTTCCCTGTCTATGTCACTGAAATGCACTGTGCTTACTTTACTTGTAACTACCAATTTAAGGCTAATGTGAAAGGGTTATTCCATTAATCACATGACTTACTGTACAATATGATATGAACAGAACGTGAGAATAACCACAGTTGTGTGACAGACAAATTTCAAGCCAGAGGTTCAGGTTTGTGTTTTGACCCCTGAGGGTGCACTAGAAAACTGCACTTCTTGCAAAGTAGAGCAGCAAACCCTCTTGAAATACAGAATCAGAGAACTTTATGAACCCCGCCAGCCATCATGGTTGCAAACATCAACTGTATTTTACTGCAAATGCAGTGCTTTCACACTGAAATGAATAATTAATCAAATGTGGTATTCTTTTTTTCTTTAACTTTGTGAAATGCTGGATGATGGACAGACAGACCACACACACGATAGAAATTATTCATGTTTTGTTATCAGCATGTTTTTGCCACCAACTTGTTTGTTTCTACCTCATAAATTTTCTGAATTTTTGTTATAATATAAACAGAAAGTCTATTAAGTCACAAAACGCTTGATAAATAATCTCACATCAAATCAGCAGCATGAATTACAACCTACTGTACTAAGATATTTATTTATTTATTTATTCCAAGCATGTAAAAAAACAGAGAGAAAAAAAAAAAGAAATCAACATGTAACACAAAACAACCAAACCAATTACCATATACAACCAAAAAAATAGAAATTTTCTTGATGATGCTTAGTCATTACATGCTTGCAAGGGAGTAGAAAGAAGTAATACTTATCTAGTTCTACCCCTAGTGATCCAAACTATGGTTGACACAACCCAAATATTTAACTAAACAACTACACTGGTTAAATTCCCGCAACCACCAAATTACTACATTCCTTCTAATCACAAATCACAATTACATAATTA